AATAGTGTGCATGGTTTAAGCATGAAAGTGGCATCTTTTATTTTGCACACATGACTGATTCACACTATCCACCATAGCATTACCTCTGCTCAACCCTTTACATGCTATATAGTATTTATCATGGTGCTTTGAGTTATGTCACAAACCGTAGGGCACAAGATTATGACTGTCTTATGTTGGAGTGCCAGCACGGCCATTGCTATGTGTTGATTTACAAGGCTATTCTTAAAGTGACAGCACCTTTCTTATCATCTTTTCCTGTTTTGAATAACATTGCCTACACTGTCTGAAATGTTTAAGTTTCATTGTTCCTCATGTCAGAACAGAAAGGAGAAAGACGGCTTTTGTTTTTTCAGCTTCAGCTGACATTCAAAATTTGCAGTAGGGCTCCAACTCCAGACTCTGGTTTTGTTTATTTTAACAGGGCCACGATAAATGCACTCATATCTAAATTACCTGAATGCAATGTTTGTATTTTAGGGTAAACATTTTTGCTGCTTTTGTATTGAATTCCTTGTCTAATTTTCTTGTTTTTAATTTTTAATGTATGTACCACTCTTGCAAAGGTCTCTTAAAAAATAGATATTTTGATCTTGATGGAACAAATCTAGTTAAGTAATTAAAATAAATGAATAATAATTAAAGATAAAACAAAGAAACTTAAATGTATTTACTGTATTTCAAAGATCGAAACTTAAAGGAAACATTTTATTCACTCTTCAAAACGGGAAAGTGAACACATTGTGCCACACAACTAAAGCCAATATTTCAAAACTTGTTTTCCTTTCCTTAGAATCTTCAGATGCTTCGGTAGGGTAAACCGCGCAGTAAAGAAAATTCCTAGGAGGGAATGTCTGTCGACAGCCTGCCAAGTTCAAAGGAATCATCAGACCGGGACATTACCTCTATAGTCCTGAAGCAGTAAACAATGCAGTCAAGACTTTTTTTATGCACATTAGCAAAACCCCTAATGAAAAATGTGGTATGGGTAAAAACATGAATAAGCATGAACATGTCAAATAAATTCAAAAGTGTTAGTCATTTCCTGTTATTTTTATAAATCAATTGAGAAACCGACCTTAGGGTATATGCAAATTCTTGTTCTGAGAGAAATGCATTTAAGATGGCATAATTGTGGTGTAATTTCGAGAATGTGAGTTTAAATTTATCTACATTTTTTATTTTATTTTGCTTTAGGCAACATAATCATTTCATTCTTGTAAGGGATATTTGAGGAAGGGTCTGTGTTTTTTGACATACAGAATATTCATGTGCAGGAGAGAAGACAAAGCTGCTTTAATAATATGACTAGCTTTAAGCAAAAATGCACAAAAAAAAAAAATCTTCTGCCTATTTCTGATTTCCCTGCTAATGAATGGGTTGAAATCAGGACAATTTTTTTTATATAGTGATATTTTGATGTTTCCTAAATACTTCTTCAGACACACCTTGATAAAAATTGACTGTTATAAGAGTTACAACTGAAACCAGGAAACTTTGATGTTAAACTTTACCTATCAGTAAAAGTGAAGGGATTGGGAATAGTAAGTTAATGTCATTGGTTATTTTGAAACATAATTTTAATGGTTTAAAGCAAGAATGTTGTGATGCACAATTGCTTCTTACCACTAACGTATGATGCATGGATGACACAACAATGGCAATAACTTGTGCAATGTATAATGTGCAAATTACTTTTTGATGCCCTGTGCAATAACTATATATAGATATAGAGATATAGATGTACAGAGATATAGATAGATATCATCTATATAAATACCTATATACACCCTGTGCAATAACCCTGTATAATGATCATACTATAAAAAAAAAGATTTAAAAAAAAAGCTGTCATATGTGGATGCACTGTATATATATCCCATTCACCTTTTTCTTACAGTACATTGGCAAATTCATTGTTCTTTATCTATTTGAGCTTTGAGCTGATGTAACGAGTACATTTCTTCACTGTGAGATCAATAACGTCAATCAATCCATTATTGCTACTTACTTCTAACCTTCATAAATCTTTTAGCTCTGCCTATTAATCTTCTCAGCGACTATGGGCCAATAGACTGACTTTTTATTTATAATGGTCTATTTGGAAAAAATCTAGAATTTCATAAAACAAATTTCATCTTAATTTAAGGAGGTAAATAAGATGATTTGCCAATGGTCTATTTGGAAAAAATCTTAATTTTAATTTAGTGCGGATGACGTCTCCAAAATGTATGGTTTTTGTAATATTCGGAGGAGGAAAGTCCATCGATGATCAAATCCTTCACCCAAAAACTCAGTCATCTGCCACAAATCTTTCCATCTGCAGTATGAACATCTGTCTGTTCCTTGATATCCAAAAGCTGCTCCTAGAACTCCTCAGTACTAGGTGGTAGATTTACTAATTTTACTTTGGTTGGTGTTACTAATTCCCTGTAAAGGCATACTGATTCAAGAAGCACATAAGATTGATAAATGTATACATTGGGTTTATTGAGTCATCATTCTATTAAATAATTTTATTGTTGTAAAACAGTCTTAAAATATTAGGAGGTCTTTAGAGTTTACCTTTGGGGAGACTTTTTAAAATAAAATCCTTTTAACCTCTACCAACTTTCTTAAGTGATCTAATCCTAATAACAGGGGCAAATTTATGACAATGAGAATCACTCTAAACTGGATGCTGTACTGTAAGTCAGAATGTCACAGGCTGCTTAATTGTCTGAAATATCTACTGAAAAAAGGTGCGGTGCCATGATGTAGGTGTTAAGGACCAGCTGGATATTTTTCCCCTAACCAAACAGATTTTATAGGATATCTAAGAAGAGTTATTCTTATTCTTGTAATTGTTGTTGGGTTTATAAATCTTAGAACCTGGTTGTTTTGAGCTATGACCAAATATGAAGAGCAAGTAGGGGATGAGGCTGGTTCTGGTGCGTCAGCAACATCTTAGTGTTGTGATCTTAAGTTGTATGGATTTTGATTTACTTTGCAGTTTGATCATTTCTTTATTCTTCATTCACTATTTTTATTTTTTTCTTTATCAGGTAATTTTTTGTGTTTTTTGTATCTAGAGTTATTTGCTGTTGGGTATCTGTTGGATTTTTTGAGTTTTCAGTCCCTGCAGAAAATTGTGCAAATTGTTGTTCCTCGCTCTCTAAACCTCTCAAGGTGTCAACACTAGTGTCTATAGTCGATAGGAAAGGAACTTTGAAGTGCTGTTCTGTACTTCAAAAAATTTTAATCTCACATCATTTTTTCTTAAAACAAGTGCATTATTTCTTGAATTAAGAAGGTAAATGAGACACTTTGCCAATAGAACAAGACAATTTGCTTTTACAACAAGAAAATAACAATTACATTGTCTCATTTCAAGTGCATATTGTCAAATTATCATATTTTAAGAGTAAAAATACTCATTCCATTCACTGCTGGTGCCTTTTACTTGTTAATGAATAAGTTCTTGTTCTGCATGCAGCCATATGTCATCAAAGCAACCGAGACATAAAGAAATTAGACACATTTTTTCTTTTTTTCATAAAGAATTACTGTTTTTGCTACCGGCTGCTGTTTTTCCTGTAACATTGTTTTTACCTTATGCCCAGGAACGTCCTATAAATACAAAAACCCTGCCAGGCTTTAAGCCTAAAGCCTTACTCCCTTCTGAACTGTAAAATAAGGCATTTATCTAGTGCTGCCCATGGAAGTATCAAGTTGAGGTATGGTGCTGAAGCTCGCCCGTAAATTATAAAACCCTGGTGTTTGGCTTGTTTGCCAGTGTGTGTGCTGACTACAGGAGACACCAGGCGGTGTTTTGTTTTTTCCTCTCTTCCTGCTTCTTTCTCTTCCCATCCCTGGATCTCAGTTCTCCCTGGGGTGTGTCCACATCTATGGAAGCGCCTCTCCTGTTTCTGCTGCTGTTGATGCTGATGCTGCCGCCTCCTCCCTCCACTCTGCTCAGCCTCCATATCTGCATCAGCTGCAGAGCTTGATCTTGTTTCTTTTCCCTCCACCTTTCTTGATCCTATCAGGAAGAATATGTTCCTAATTCAATCTTATTTTTTTTAGGAGGTGTGGATGAGTTTCAGGAGGGGTCAGTCACTATTTGTCACTTTAGAGTATCTTTAGGGGACCGGATGAGAAAGGAGCCCTGAACACTCACCGCAGCCTCCCCTCCCTCTCCTTCTTGCTCCCCTGTCTCTCCATCCTCTCCTCCTCTCCTCAGTCTGCAGCCTCCGACAGCAGCCGCCGCATCATTTTTCAGAGCAGCTGCCCCCTCCCTCCCTCTCTTTTTCTCTCACCCACCCTGCTCCTCTTCTCTCCGTCACCCCTTCTGCTGTTCGCACCTCCGTGGGAATGCAGAACAGGGTAGGATACTCGCAGAATCATCTTTTTGAACAATTTTTATGTTATTTCTCCCCCACCCCCCCTTCCCTGAATCTGGAGAGGGAATAATCCGATCAGGGGGGGGTGGCCAGCGCCTGGAGACAGGACCTGGATCAGCTGGATCAACAAACATCACCCCTTCTTCAGTCTTATTGGCAGATCGCTTCAGATCCTTTTTTCCCTCAGCTGCCTGCTTTCAGTCGTGGCTCTTGGATTATTGTTACACCGTCATCTGAAACGAGCGCTCCAACCCTGAGGGCGCATTTAGATGAAAAGTTGGAGCAGCCCTGCAAAGACACTGCAAGCGAATTCCTTCTGTATATATTTAAATATTTCCGAGTGAAATGAACTGACGTGACATCCAGGAGCGGTGGTTTACATTTTTAAGGACCCCCCCTCCCCGTGCGGCTGATAATCATCCACTATAAGGCTGCATAGGAGTCCTGGCTTGCTGCTGGATTTAGTGCGCTCCCATCCTGGTGGATTTACGGCTCCAATCTGTGGGATCGATATAAATATATGTGTATACTTGGGGCACCTTTTTAACACTGGAGTGAAACATCCTCGGATTTTTCATCGCTCAATTTACGCAGAACTCAAGTGAAGCGCTGTTTCCCCTCCTGCAGCCCTATTTCTCCTGCTTGACTCACCTGTCCATAACCTGTATGCTCATGGGAAGTTGGGATATCATGCATTCGTGCTCTTGTGTGTGAGCGTCTCTGTGTGAGTGAATGTGTTTGTTTTTTTTTGTCCGCCAGAGGGAGTGTAGGTTATGCTGCTTTTTGAATGCATTTGAATGCAGTGCCAGCTTTTAATTAAAACGTGACTGTGAGTGGATGGTGTCTGCTTGGTTTTAGATCTGTGCATGTAGTCATTCTAGCTGTACTCACTTAAAATGTGCAGCATCCCTTCTGCACCGTATCTTTACATATGCCTGTTTATTATCAGGCCACCTGTTTGACCTCCCAAATAGTCTGAGATAGAAGAAGGGGAAAAAAAGCTGCAGCAGGATGAGTGAGCGCTCTGGTACAAGCACTCTGGTAGCCATGACGCTGGAGGAGCCAGGGGCTGAACCAGCGTCCCCTCGAGCCCCGGGCCCTCTCCGATGTGGCCCGTGTGCTGTGTGGCCTCGCCAGCAGACCTGGCTGTGTGCTGTACCCCTGGTGATGGGATTTGTAGGATTGGGACTCAGTCTCATGCTGCTCAAATGGATTGTGGTTGGCTCTGTGCAAGATTATGTCCCTACGGATCTGGTTGATCCAAAGAGTATCAATGGCCAGGACCCCATATTTCTCTCAAAGCCCAGCGCCATGCCCAAGGGGCCTGACATTTCCACGGCTACGACTTCTTTAGCTCCGTCTACTACAGCAATGATTTCAATGACCACACCTCTTGCAGGAGATGGTACTGCCCCAGCTCCAAGAACTCGATCTGGTCCACCAGCAAACCACTCAGCAAATGGCAGCAACCCCAACGGGGACGGAAATAGAGCCCCTCACCTGCACAACCGAGTTGGCACCCGTATAAGTGGGACTACAGTAACCACCTCCGCCACCCGTGCCACCCGTCTTACCCCTGCACCCAGTGGTAAGGAGGTCACGCCCCGCAGTAATGTTAGGAAAGGAAGCAGCACATCCAACGGACGCAATGGAGCTGCCAATTCAAATCCTGGACAGACTTCTCCTACCGTCACCACCACGACATCCACGACCACAACAGCTATTTCTAAGGGCACCGCCAAGGTACCCCCAACAACGACCTCCCAGCCAGCAGTCCCACTGAAGCCCACATCACGCTGGAATCAGGGGCGTCCAGGGAGGGGTCCAGCCACACGCCCACACCACCGTTTCAGAACACGTAAGTCCAGAATTTTGGTCACTAGTGCTGTACGAGTGAGTGCAGTATTTAAAGGGTATGTGTTGAACTCATGAGTGTTTGAGAAGAGCTCTTGGGCCTGTATGGCACTAAATGGAGTGTTTCAATGTAGTAGCCACTTCTTATACCCTCACGTCTGTATAAAGGAACCCTATCATATCTGGCAGGCCTAGTTACAGCTTAATCTCTGGGATTAATCACATAATATACATTTCATTCTTTATCCTCGTAGATAGTGGATACTCCACTGGCTTAATATTAATCATATGCATTAGAGCAGGCTGGTATCAGGGGATATGCTGTGATTTCACCCCTTTCATCTTTATCTTTACCTTATGCATGGATGTGATATGAATCTTACCTCCAGAGGAGTTTTCTTCCTTATTTCTACAATTTTAAAAGTACCTTTGAGTACAGGGCTTTATCTGACAGATTAGACTTGGCTTTGGTTCTGCTAGAGTGGAAATTTAAGTCCTGCACTATGTACTCTGACCAAAGATGGTATTTTTATGAGAGAAAAAAAACTTTGCTTGTAAGGTGTCAATGCATGAGTGAAGTTAGCTTTCACCCTCTTGTCTTGAGGAATCTGATAAATCAAGGCCACATATCCTATTTAGCAGAATGTTGCAGGTGCAGCTTTACACTGCAGGGAGATATAGAGTGTGAGGCTGGGGGGGGTGTTAGGTGCTGGGGGGGAAGTAAAATGGATATGGGGAAGAGAATGGGGTATCAGAGGACAAGTGGAAAGGGAATAGACAAGGGAAAGAAGGAAGAGAAACCCTTTGAAAAACAGCAAAGTTAAAGAGGGTGGCGAATGAAGGACTCGAATGCGGGAAGCATAACAAAGCAGTAGAAGCAAGAGAGGGGGCTGCGAGGTGAGAGGAAAAAACAGATGGAGGGGGCTAAGTAAGGGAAAGGCTTGAGGGAGATAGAGGGTACAAAGCAGGGGAGATGAGAGTTTTGCATATTTTGTATTGTGCTAAAGTAAGAAGGATCCATGATTGTTAATTCCACAAGGAACACGTTTTCAACATCCTGCAAAATTTCTTTGAGATGTGGGTGGGGCAGGATGTGAATGGGGTGATGAGTTGTGAATATGACTGGTAGAAACATATTTTTTCATACGCTTTGACTACTAAGTTACAATTTCACCTCTGCTTCCTGTAAGAGGAGTTGCCAAAGGGATGGAATATGAAATGGCTTTTCATTTAACAACAAAAATGTGTTGAGATGAAAAATGAAACCCTCATTCCTCCACATTCCTGGTACAGATTAAATGGCCGCATTCACTACATGCTACAGTCTCATTTATCAGGTGGATGTATCACTGGTATTGATTGCAGCAGCAAAAGTGATCAAGTGACACTTTTTCATCCTTGTGCAAAATATTTTCAGTCTAGCTGACTCTCTATAGCCATAGACAATCCTCAGACTCCTCCTGCAAAATTATCCGCTGCTCTAGAGTCAATTACATCACTTGCCAAATAGCTGCCAAACAGCTGAAAGCTGCCAAGGCGAGCAGTTCCCTCGGGTGAACATCAGGAAGCATCTGTTTGTGCTGTATACTATAAAAGGCTGAGGACCTCACATGGTATCATATTTTTAGTAAATCAAATTTTTGTACCTCAGGAATTTAGAACACAAAAAGATTTTTTGGGTTTTTCGAGAAAGAATTGAATTTTTTTTAAGTCTTGTTTTTTCTATGCACTTTGTCTACATAAGCCAGCCGGAAGGCAGCACTTCAAATATACTAAAACAAAAGTCACCAAATGGATTCAATAGAAGTCATATTCTTTGTTAGAATTCTAATTAGTATTTATTGGTTTGTTTCTTTTTGAATTCAAGTATCAAGATAAACTAAATGAGGAATTCAGAATGTATAAAGTGAGCATTTTTGAGAAGAAAAAAATATAGGCATTTAATATACCCTCATTTACAATGCCTATCTGGGTATTAGTTTGGGAGTGAACACATTTCTATGATGTTAATGAAGGGAAAAACAAAACACAATATCAGCTTCAACAACCACCCCCCAAAATTAAACTGATCCCTCAAGGATCAGTTTAATGTCAAAACAATTGGTTATCAGCCTGAAAAAACAAAAAACAAAATCAAATGTATCAGTTATGCTCAGGATTACCCCTTGTTTTATCTTTACCCTTCATATATATATTACAAGCTCACAGTTGGCCACTAGATATTTGCAAAGAGCTGATTTTTGTCTTAGTGAAAGTGAGGAAAAAGCGCAGGAGCTGACGGCAAAGAGGGAACAGGTTGTGAAGGGGGAAGGCACTTTTTGCCCAATGTAACTAGAGAAAACTGAACCACCCTCTTTAACGTCTCATCCGAAGAAGCATCAACCTTGAGATGACAGATACTAAATTTTGTGGTCTATAAATCAAAGGTTATATCATTTCATTTATTTTTTTCATTTTCTGTTTTCAGGAATATCATTCAAACTGCCTCCTAGATAGAATTTCCCCTATAAAGCCAGGTTCCAGCTGCAAACTAATGCAAAATATTGCAAAGGTTCATGAAGTAGTGCTTTGCATTACCCCTTGGTCCCTTTCTGACTAGCTATTCGCTTTAGCCTCCAGGTCCAACTAATTTGATTTCTACTAAATAAGGATGACAAGGTTTCTCTGCTGTATCTTAGTGTGACATTAATTGCTTACAAATTTGTGATTAAAAAAGCACTGTACAAATTTCAGACTACTATCCCTTTAAGGGTATTTACCATTCAGTACATGTCAATTTTAAAAGTGAAATTAGTCTCTACTCTCTTTACCCCATTTTATGTTAGCAAATATTTCAAATTTTCAGCAAAGACACAAACGATGATTCAAATGGTGAAGAAGACCTGCATAAATAACTAGATTTAAAAGATTTGATCCTTGTATGTTCTCTTTTTTTATATTTCAGTTTTATTTTCAAATCTCAAGGGCTCACAAGTAGCTGTGGAATATTTACTTACACAATTCAAATAGTTTAAGATGTTCCAAAAGTACTTTCCTCTCATAATTTCCCATTTCCTAATTCAAGTCATTTTATAGCAAAGAGATATCTTGGTCTTTATATTCTATATGGACTGACGTTGATAATTTAAAACCACACAATATTAGTTTGATATGTAAATAATAAGATAAACCTGCTAAAAAAAATGAAAAAACATTTTTTACGGAAAAAAGCTTCTATGTGGATACTTAAAATATTCTTGAAAAACTGAGGAGTCGCTGTGCTACTAAACCAATAAATTATTTTACTGAAATGTTTACTAAAATGAGTTTGGATCCTTAGAAATAAGCTAGTCAACATCAAGAATCAGTTTAGCAAATATAAAATGATATGTAAAATGCCTTGCTTGATGAAGAAATTTTTTATAACACATACTTTTACCCTCAACAAATGTATAGCATTTTTCTTTTCTTTTTTTTCTGTATATACATGCAGTGAGGAAATGTGTTTCAGGCAGTCTACACTTTAAATCCATTAGGTGGTGGTAAAAGGATATATTTTTAGGATTGCTCCTGGTTTCTGGTTTAAACCTAAATTAGTCTTGGTATTCTTAAAGACGATCTTTTTTTATTCAGGTTGAGGGATGTATTGTAGCTCATCCTTTTGTTTTCTTTCGCTGCTTTTTCCATTGTCATTCCCATTTTGTCTATTTTTTCTCTACTTTTTCAGCTTCTTTCTTCTCAGCTCACATTCATGAGCATATGGGCATTTCAGCAAAAAAAAAAAAAAAAACTGGCATACTTGTAAACACAAAGACTAGCATGTGACATGTGTTCGCTCTGACTCATGAATCTATCATTTGATTTTTTTTTTCCCTCCTTTCTTGAGAATGTAACATGTCCAACTGTCATGTAAGCCAGATTGGCTTAGAGGTGCAGACATAACAGGCAAATGGAGCAGTGGACAATGACTGCCTGTTGGGAAAACCATTGGACACTCTGTTGGCTTGGGGCCTGTTCCGCTTTCCTCTCAGTTGTGTGAGAAACCTTCCTTGGTGAAAAGTGGTTGTAATTCCATGCACATATCACTAGCCCATTTGCAGCCCTGTGAAGAACCAGTAGCATCCTTTTCTTTGGTTTTCTTGAAGTAGTTCAAAGATGTTGTTCCTGAATGAAACAGCTACCTGCTTCTGGGGGAAACAGCCGAGCTAGTCAGCACCTTGATATGCAGGAAGCGCTGCTTCTTGCATCAGTGCCTTCACACAGAGGGAACGTCTTCAAGCTGTGCAGGAGTTTGGAACAGAGAGAGAAGAGATGCAAACCAAAAGAGCCAATGTAAATCAACTGAGTTAACATCTATGTAATCTTAATCTTGTTAATGGCTTAAATAAAAAGAATAGTTTTGGCCAGGGGTCTAAAATATAAGCTGTATCCCTGGGAACTTCAATGGTATATAATGAAAGCTATTTTTTTGTTTTTCTGTTTGTTGATACGGATACGTCATGAAAAGTTTTTGATATTTTTTTGCCCTTATAATTAATTCCAATTTAAGTCGAATCTTATTCAAGTTCAAAACTTAAGTATATTATAGATTTTTTTAAAGGGTAACAATGCATATTAATATACAAATAAAGGCTAAGTATAAATAAAATGTGTTATAAAGGTGATTTTCACTTATTTATTAACAGATTGATGTTATTGTATTAAACGTCATATATAATCATAAGGTGTTCTAATGCAATGAAAAACATACAGCATTATAAAACATTTAAAACAGTATGACCAGAAAGATGAGCACAGCATTTTATTAAAACGTGAATATTATATATGTTTTTCAGATCTCTATTGCATACTCATTAAATCTTGGGTATTGAGCTATGGTTCAATTGCAATCATTATTGTTTAGTTGAATAAACGTCTATATGTAAATAAGAATACGGAGGAAAAAAAAGGGAAACTATGATATAAAGGAAACTTTATTAGTAAGTTTTTGACCCTGACATTCTGGATGCTGCAGGATTGTCTTCC